TCGACAGGTACACTTATTGTTGCTTGACAATTATAATTACTTCTCGGCACTCAGTGCGGATAAGGCCTGTATCCGCACCGAGTGCGGAAAAGTGTAACTTTGAGCCCGGAAATGCGTGCGGAAAAGTACTACTTTGCGCACGCTCGTAGGAAATAGTTATTTTCCTAACAAGTGCGCAAAGTGTTACTTTTCCGCACGCAAACACAGTTATACGAACGACGCGAAGCGGAGTTCGGATACGTGTTTGCGTGCGGAAAAGACACTTTGCGCACGTGTTAGGAACAAAATTTTTCCTACGAGCTTCATATCAGGTAGGTAACAACAAAAATTTAAAAAAAAACGATAATTTGTTTAATTATTTTTAATTAACTTGAAGGGAACCTATGCATTTATCAAAAAATTACATAACAAAAAAAAAATATAACAGAAAATCATCGTCAGAGCTCTTCATCTTAAAGCGTTTAATGGCGATTTCCATTTGTCATCAGTGCCGCACTGAGTGCATCCGCATCTTTTTCTAAAAGCTTGTAACATGTAAGGATAAGGATACATTTTTTTGCCCTGTTTCGACAAATGGAAAATGCTATAAATTTGATGAGAAAGTTTGTAGATGCATATATATAGAAAACAAATCTGACAATGTGTTGAAGTTAATTAAATTTGGTGTTTGTAGGTATAGATGTTAGCTGGAACAGGAACAGAGGAAAAATTTGTCATCATGTGTCAAAGTCGACAGGTGTACTTATTGTTGCTTGACAATTATTTTTACTTTTCGGCACTCAGTGCGGATAAGGCCTGTATCCGCACTGAGTGCGGAAAAGTGTAACTTTGAGCCCGGAAATGCGTGCGGAAAAGTACTACTTTGCGCACGCTCGTAGGAAAAATAAATTACCTACCACTTGTTGAATATCCTTGCAATTCTGCTCCAAAATATACACAACTAAAAGAAGATTGCGAGATGTACAGGGTCATCCAACGATGATGAACAGGGGCTTATTTTTGACTTTCCCCGTTCCTGTAGTTCTGAGAAAATTCAAAATAGTCAATTGGCATATTCTTTGCTGGAGAATTCAAAAATGGTACCAAAAAATCATTTGAACTAAAAACCAAAGAGTTACGCCATGGATGAACTGCTTTTCAAATGGAACATCCTGTTTTTTATATAATTTCTGGAAAAGTCGCATTTTTAACGTCTATACCTTTGAAAATATTTGATATTCCGATGCCTATTTTCATTTTATCTCCTACTGAACTATTATAACCATTTAATACCTTGGTTACGATAATCATAAACAGGGTCTTAACTCCCAATGGAGTTAAGGATTTCATAACTCCCGCGCGGGAGTAAAGGATATCATAACTCCCAAGGGAGTTAAGGATTTTTCCATAACTCCCGCTTTTACCTTGAATAGGTGAAGCTTTAACAAAAAATAGAAATTTTGGTTTATGGTTTATTTCTTTATAAAAATGGACAAAATACAGTAAATTTAGTAGGAAATAAAATTAAGTATAGTCTACCGATAGTCAAATGAGACAGTAAAAAAAATAATATTCCTTTGGCCGTCGGCGTTTTCTTTATGAAGCACCGGCGGAGTAATAGTTGGGGAGCTGGCGTCAAAAACATGCAAGAGTTTTCGCAAGGCGGATATTTTCAAAATAGGTCGTACTTTAGTGCTAGAATGCTAGTGTACAGTCAGCACTCACAGTTCCGGGACAGCTGGCTCTGGAACGCGGGCAAAGTTGTAATTTTAAGAAGCATCTAAACTGTTTTTTCAAAGCTCAAAATTTATAGAAATTTTGCACATTATCTGTTTGAAGGTCACAGATAACGTATGTAAATCGTCAGACGTCTAGTTCGTTGCAAAAAGGGGGTCAGACGTCCTCAAAGTTTTTATTTTATGGCATTTTCTTCAAATATATTTGTCAAATACCTGCAAAAATATATTTTCTCTACAACTGTCAAAAAATGATGATGTTCGCACACTCATGACAGTTTGCGAAGTGACACTTTTTTTCCCAGGTATTGATTTTTTAACGTTCCCATGACGCCGTGCGCGAACTAACTATTTCGCACACTGGGTGTCATGGCGACACATACCTGTCAGGAAATCAAAAATAATTAAAATTCACCTACCTTTGATTGAAAATGCAATTTTGACTTCGAATGATTGATATTTAAATGGAGTTGTAGAAAAAATATTGTTTGCAACTCGGGCGCGAAATACTTTGGTGATCTCGATCACCAAAGTAGCATTTCGCGCCCTTGATACAAAGATAACTATTGACAGGACACCGAAGAAAATGCCATAAAATAAAAACTTTGAGGACGTCTTACCCCCTTTTTGCAACGAACTAGACGTCTGGCGATTTACATACGTTATCTGTGACCTTCAAACAGGTAATGTGCAAAATTTCTATAAATTTTGAGCTTTGAGGAAACAGTTTAGATGCTTCTTAAAATTACAACTTTGCTCGCGTCCCAGAGCCAGCTGTCCCGGAACTGTGAGTGCTGACTGTACACTAGCATTCTAGCACTAAAGTACTACCTATTTTGAAAATATCCGCCTTGCGAAAACTATTGCATGTTTTTGGCGCCACCTCCTGGACTATAAGGGAAATTTATTAAAACAGTTTTATATAAAATAAAACATGAGGCACGATACAACTCAAATAGGAATCAAATTTATAAAAACTATCTACTGCACTGTTTTTCCAGATGAAACTGATTCGCAAACGGCGGCCGCTACAAAGAAATATGCCGCCAAAGAAGCCGCCTCTTCAAAGAAATACGCCGCTAAAAATTTTAACCAATAAGATATTCCTGTAGTCAACGTTGACTCTATAAAACAACCAATAAGATGCGTTGTTCGCAAGTGGATTCGCATCCAATGTATACCGGCACGCTCAATATATTTTTCCTAATAATAGTATAATAATTTTACGGGGCAATACGATAATTTGAGGAGGCCCCAATTTTTTTCTTGTCTCATTTGAGAAACGATAGACTATACATGATACATAAATAACTATTATTTCAATGTTTTAGTTTTATCCTTAATAATTTTAGCTTCATCTGTTGAATGCATCTGTGTTAACTTATTCTATGGTAATGGCGGCAAAATATGTCAAATTTCTTTTAACTTTAACAAAAGGTGATTATACCTCTATCACCTATAAACCTATTAAATTAAAAAGGAAATGCTAAAATTATTAAAGGGGGTGTGCGCCAAAAAAGCAACTTCATCTAAAAAAAAAGAGAAAAACAATCTAAGAATAACAGTGAAATCCGCACCCCTCTATGACAAATAATACCGCAGATATGGCTCTATGAAGGTACCGCATCTCACCCTATGACGTCACGAAAGCTCAAGCGACGCACGAGAAAGTGGATTTAATTAAATTTACATAATGTTTTTCCTGTGTTACCTGCAATAATCTAAACAAAAACCACTCACGCGTGCCGGGAACAATCAAATTAACAATGCAGAGCGCCGCTGGACGAAGTTTTCGTGACGTCACGAGAGCGTCGTCCACATTTTAAAGCGGTATATCTCAGCGATGGTTTATTGTAGAATAACGAGGTTTGAACAGTTATTCTTAGATTTTTTTACACAAAAACTTTAATTTTTGGCGCACACCCCCTTTAAACATAAAACATTAAAATAAATTAAAATTGCGGAATATCAAATATTTTCAACAGAATAGACGTAAAAAATGCGACTTTTCCTTTCCAAAAATCATAAAAAAACAGGGTGTTCCATTTGAAAACAGTTCACCCATGTGGTAAATCTTTGGTTTGTGATTCAAATGATTTTTTTGTACCATTTTTGAATTCTCCGGGGAGGTCAAAAATAATCCCCTGCTCAGTCGTCGTTGGATGAACCTGTACATCTCGCAGTCTTCTTTTACTTGTGTATATTTTTGAGCAGAATTACACAGTGGTAGGTAATTTATTATTGAGTGCTTGAAATGAAACCCTCAGGTACAATCAATAGGAATTATTGTGAAATGACTTGAAATTGTGATATTTTCCATATTGCACTGGGGGATGGCAAGAGAGTTGGGTTAGGGACCACTCCAGCTACCGGCAAGATGTACTTTTCCATTCTTTAGGATCACAGAAATACGATTTTGAGCATTTTTTCCGGTCCTCACATTTTGCATACTCATATCCCTCTAATTCCTGGTCTATTACGCAAAATAATTTCAACGAAAAATCTCTTGGTTGGATTATGTTGTGAGGCGGTGCCCCATCCTAATGCCATAATATTGTTATATTCTCTAAGAGAAAGACCTTCTAGCAAATCTTCGATTTCATCGCAGCTTCATCGCTCCACATTATCTTATTTAATAAATTATTGTCCCTATACTTACACAGGGTGTACCAATTAAAGCGAAACAGGCTGAATATCTGATGCCACGTTTATTTTTTAAAAAAATCGCTCGTAGACGTGATTTGGATTTCGAAGGGGGAAGTTTTCTGCAACTATTTTTAGCACTTCAACTTTAACCCTCTAGGCGGGGTAGGACCAACCCCTCACTATTTCAAATGGAAAAAGGGGTCGAGTAATACCTCTTTCAAAAGAGCGTTCAATTCTCTTTCATTTGATGTCATTTGAAAGAAAATTAAACGCACTTTTAAAACAGGTATCACTCGACCCCCTGCTCCATTTGGAATGGTAAGGGTTGGTCCCACCCCCCCTGGAGGGTTAAGTTAGTGCTGAGAATATTCCATACACTTCACACAATCAAATTACGTGTACGAGCGATTTAAAAAAAAAAAAAGTGACAGATATTTAGCCTGTTTCGTTTTAAATGGTATGCCCTGTATATCATTACAGTATACGAATTTTCTAATTTTGTGCTCATAGGTTAATTTTTGTACTTACTGAAAACATTTTTTAAGGGTGATATTTTATATTTATGTAAAACAGTTGAAATCTTTTTTCTAGATTTTTCAAGGTGTTTACTGACATCCACGGTAACTAATAATACACTAATAATTACTTACTGTTTTTATTTATTTTATTCCAATTATCTAAAAAACAAAACATATATATATAAAGGAATTCAAGAGCCTCTTTTTCTGTTTCGGTACCGAAATGGTGTGGTCTTATTGTTTACTTTATCTTTCACTTTACTTTTTTTTGTCCATGTCTTCGTAGTCATGTCCTAGAATATACACAGACAATATTATTGAAAAGAAAACTATAAAATACATCAAACTGAAAACAATGTGTTTTAAATAAAAATAGAACTTTCTAAATTATATTAAGAACCAATACGTTTTTTGAGTAGAACGTCTGAATCTAATAGGGTATTAACTGGAAATACTATTTTTCATTTAAACAATATTGTTTCTCATTATAGAAGTATACCTAATAATTTAAATATGTAGAGTGTGGTCATTTTATCTTGATAACATTTTAAACTATCATAATATCTTTATTTTTAAAGTTATTTGAATAAATAAAAAAACATACTGTAGGGTTGGTTTCCAAGTTTCAGATAGGGTGGACAAAAAACAAAAGACTAATATATTTTGATAGTTATGCGTACAAATAGCATCTTTTTTAATGGAACACCCAGTAAATTTTTAGTTTGTTTGATAATATGTTTAATTCTGATTTCAATAAACAGGTTCCCAACTATTTCATAGCGACAGCATTGATTGCTATCTCGAGAACGGTTAAAGTTACGAGGGCGTTCAAATTAGAAAAAAGTTGCCATTTTTGAAGAATGTGAAAAATATAATACTTTTGAATTTGAACTATGTCTCTAAAATCAATAAATTTTAAAATATTTGATAAAATTATTTATCCAAATTTTCAAAAATCACCCTGTATTTGTGAAACTAATAGAAATTTGGCAACAACGAAAATATATTTTTATTATTCTTCAAAAATGGCAACTTTTTTCTAATTTAAACGCCCTCGTAACTTTAACCGTTCCCGAGATAGCAATACTGTCCCTATGAAATAGTTGGGACCCTGTATACAATACAATACAATTGAATACAGTTCACTTTATATTTACATGCATTGTTCACCCTATCTAAAACTTGGAAACCAACTCTACAGTATGTTTTTTTATTTATTTCAATAACTTCAAAAATAAAGAAATTATGACAGTTTGAAATGTTATCAAGATAAAATGACCACACTGTACATTTTTATTCTATTTTGCTTTGCCACCCAAATTCTCTCACCTTTACACTTCTTATCTTTATATTGGGATGATTACTTTCTTTGCGGCATTGCCCCGGCGGAACTGAATCCTAAACAGATGTTTCATTATAACTAAGTCCTACATTAAATTGAGTATTCGTACATCTTTCCAATGTATTACAGACTTTTTACCCCTACCACTCCACCAATCCGCTTCCCCATATTCCATGCATTGATCGTCCATCTAGAAATAATGACAATACTTGTGTCATTTGAAAGTTACACAAATAAATAAATTAAAAAGCCATAGAACATTTAAAATTATAACCAGTATTCGATTCACTTCAAATGCACTTTAGTGTAAGTGCCGTATTGATCGTCGATTCTTAAGATATGAACCATTTTCTAAGTAAAACAAACCTTATCAGATATTAGAGAATTATGGCACTTTGAAATAGCGACGGTCACTAATAAAAACGTTCTTATTTTGACATTATTGACACCTACGCATGCGTATTGAACTATCCAAGATGCTGTCAAACTTGAATTAAAATGGCCGCCAAGAGGCACACAAACCCTTTTTTTATGTGCCATTCAATGTGTCATGAAATTTTTTTCAAAAAAATAGTGCTCATTGTTCATTTGCGTTTTGATACTCGTTCTTTTTACTCGTATTTTTATTAATGTTAGAAATAAAACAGATCCCTAGAGCACTCCTGCAGTGATATCCAACCCCTCTGAAGTACTGCACCCCTAGAAGCAGTACTTCATGACAGACACAATCGAAAGCTTTCAGGTCACAAAAAACTACCGCGGCCACTTCTTCGTCATTTATCTTCTAATACAGCTCATCCAGGAGATGAAATATGGTATCATCAGTGTTTTTTGACTGCTGAAACAGAGACAGAGAAAGCAATTTATGTCTATCAAGGAAGCTCACCATCCACCTTAATTAGCCACTCTACAATTTTAGTCTAAGTTGCCAGTAAGGATATTGGCCGGTAATAAGATGGTAAATTCTTATCACCCCCCTATTAAACAAAGGTACTACCCAAGATTGCTTCAAAAATGAGGGAAAACTTCCGGTAAGAAAAAAATTGATAATGGAATCAGCCAACACATCAACAGCCCTAACTAAGATATCGTCCCATCCAGAAGATTTTCTATTTTTGATACTCAGTTTCTGAGCAATCGTACAGTAGTATGAATTAATATTATCTGCTTTCAAATTGGAAGCACATATGTATATTTCTTTTTTTTTTTTCGCGTAGGTCGTTACTCTTTTTGTTTATTGGATGCGGATGCCCAACCTCTCATTGTAATAAATCTTCCTTGCCTGTTTCCTTGTCTTTCTGTAGATGCTCCTGTATCCATTATTTAAAGTAGGTAGCAGAACACTGGACGGTGGAGTTGCAACAAATAATATTTTCACATTTTAAGGGTAGGTCCTGGGTGTCCAAGTGAAATGTAGGTAGAGCAATCTTGCCCAAACAATAGGGATTCCGTAATTGGGTAGAAACGGCCAAAAATTGAGACGCAAACAATAGAAAATGAGTATTCGATTATGATCATTAATGACATAACCTAATGACATTATGGTTTGTGTTTGTGTCAAATGTTTGTGTGCCTCTTGTCGGCCATTTTTGTGTCACGTGTTTTGGATAGTCTAATTTGTGACTAAATATAGTGGTGGTCAGTAATGAAATAAGGATCATCCTTATTTGTGATTGAATAGTGAAAGGCAGTATTTATTCCACTATTTTTTGAGACATGCGCAAATATAAATCATATGTCAGTTGTCCAAGAATTTTTCAGATTCTAACCTCACATAATTTGTTTATATTTTTTGTTTGTATTTTGTTGATGGATAAAATCGAAAAACATCATTTGCTCCCCCTAGAATGGCAGTTTCTAACTTTTCTTTCATTACAATTGTGTAAACAACGTGACACTGACGCGAAAAAATTATCAAAATAGTGCCAATTGAACATGTTGTGCCATAATTCTTTTTATTCATGAGAAATAGTGACTGTCAGTAATTAAATAAGGCCGATCAGTAATAAAATCGATCACTATTTGGAAAGTGCCATAATTCTCTATTGATTATGGTAAAAGTTATCCATTCTAAGGAAAACTTAAGTTTGGACCATAAATACGGCCTTATTTTAAAGAAAATTGGGTTGTAGCTTTATTACTGGATTGCTTTAGAATTTTTATTTATTGCACATTATTATTACCGTATATTTGATTTAATAAAAATTTGGATCGTCACGGTTTTTTCGATTTTTATCATTTGGGTCACAGCGTCGTTTTATCTGAAAAACATCAAAAATACTAAATAACTCAGTTTCAATAAAGCAATAGAAAGATATTGCAAGTGCTTGTCTTATTAAGGCAAGCCTTATTTCGACAGCTGCGCATGCGCAGTTTCCGTTTGGAATAGGGACAGCCTTATTAAGGATAAGGATCTGCCTCATTTAGGAGAAAATAAGACCTGCCTTATTTTGCCTTATCTAAAAGTTCTTAGTCGATCGGCGATGATCGGTAGGAATCGAGTTTTGTTATATTTTGTGTTTATAACCATAGATTTTAGATGCATGACAAAAAAATTTGACTATTCTTGAATTTGTTTTTCCAAACTTTGAGAAATGGGGCAAAATCAAAACAGCATCGAGGCACAGAAAAGAGGCAGACTAAAGGTTTGTTTATTTGTGTCGCACTAACTTAAACTAACCTGTAATATCTCAGATTATAGCAGATAAACCCTATAAAACGCTCACAAACGAACGCCCTAAAGCAGGAAGTGCTGCCCCGAACAACACAAACAAACAACCTCAAGGTTTACGTATAACTGTGAACTGGTTTGGCTTTAGAGAATTTGTGTGATTTTCCACATCAGAAAGAAAACACTTCAAGTTCAAAAGTTTAAAAATAAACATTAACAAAAATTCAATATTTTCAGGTTAGAAATAAGGCCTCAACTCCCAGTCGTTTCTGGAAATTTGCAATATCTAAACTTGTCATTCGAAGTAAGGAAATGACCTATCGCGTCTAAATAAGATTTTAGCCTTATTAAGGCTGATTTGCAATATCTCTCTATTATCATATCAAGACAAGTTACCCATACATGTTTATAAATTATTATGCAATTATGTAATTTTACTTACCTATAATAAATAAAAAATATCACAATAATAATTATCACAAAACCAGTTTTTATATGCAAAATATGGGGAACTTGCCTTAAAATATGCTACAAATATTTTGATTGTTTTATTAAAAATAAGGGCAATAAGGCCAACATTATTTGTGCCTCAAGACATGCAATATCAATATAAAACAATAATAATCGTTCTGTACTAAATTTTCAACAACATTTACTGCAGAAAAATATTTATTGTATCATATAGTTAAAGCGAGTTTTGAGGGATATTTTAACAATAATGCAAATTCCCCAATTATTGCATTATTGACGAAACAGTTTTCCAGTATTGTAACTAGACGGCGAAGTAATTCCGCATACGCCCTTTTGCCATTTGGCGATAATTTAAACGAAGAATATTCTATGTTGATAAGAGCAACTATTATTGACACAGCTTCTATTGAGCTTTTCAAGGACTAACACAGGTATTGATTTAGTTCAAGATAGTGTGAGGCTTGAGATTTCTTTGGTCTCAAAACAAGGATAAGGATTGAGAACTAGTTTATTGGGTTAGATGCTTGATCATCATGATTGCTAAAGCTTGTTCCATTATTGGAAATATATGGGCAAATGGCTAATAACTTATCGATTCATGTAACAAAAACTGAACAAAACTTGTGAATGTTAGTTCGGTTTTATTGGGTAAAAAAATTCATCGCTGAAAACTTTTACGTAGGCTTAGGCATTTTTGGGGTTAAAATTTATTTCAACGGCTTACTTATTGAGTCAGCTAAAAATAAACTTCAGAAGCTCAGGTCAACCCGAACGTGAAGTAAGGTCCTAAGGAATTCTTTAAAAACAGGAAGAAGAACAATTAAAAAGTAACCCATATGCTCAGCATGATTTCAAAAGTAACTATATAGGAGTGAATTCTCAATAAAATGATAAAACCATATGCTGACAAGTATAAAAATATCATAATAATATGGAATCTTCCTAATTGCGTTTATAATTATCCGATCTTGAAACTTGTAATAAGGTAAGAGTATAAGGACTACTCCAAGTTGCTTGAAGCATATTATTTTTCAAGACTAAATTATCTGTTGTCCAATTACTAGACTTTCTTGGCGATACTTTTATAAATTAAAGAACATTTATTTACCTCTATGGCACTATCGATATCAGGTCGCTTGGGTTTCTTATGTTTAGGACAATTAGGTGGTTTAGGTTTTTTGCCTCCAGTTTTACCGTCCAAAGACATTCCTGTTCCAACTATGTCTATCCAAGAGCCTTCAGTTTCCAAGACTGACGGATTTACACTGAAACATAATCAATAAGAAAACATCTACCATTAGGCGATGCTACGAATGCCCTCCAACGTTGGACGCTCAATAATTTATCGCATCATGTGGCCGAACTTCGATCATACGAGCTACGAATCTCAAACGTTCATCATTCGCGTTTGGTTCGAGCCGTTGTTGGTATTTTTGACCCGAATCAAAGAAATTTTGTGACGGCCGATCGAACATTGTTGCACTGCTACACAAACAAGTGTGGTCATTTTAATTTTATCAAAATCTCTATATACAGTGTGTTTCAAAAGTCTGGGAACGGTCAAATATTTCCAGAGCGGCTTGAAATAGAACTACGAAGTTTTCTGCATATGTGTAATTAATGATGCCCAATTCAATGATGACATCGACAATATTGCCAAGCTTACCGGTTTTCAGATAATGTAGATATTGTGAAATTATTTAAACAGTGTATGCACGTGATCAATGACGTCGAAATTATTGCCAATTGCAGTTTGTAAGAAATTAAAATTCGTTTCAAGCTGAGAGCTCATTCTCCTTTTTATTTAACCTTAGTTAAAAAAAGACAGAACACTGTTGGCATTTAACCGAATCGGCCGATAAAATGACATTTAGATTGGCACTCATGGGTTATGTTGCCAAATATTGCTGCAAATCTGCGGTTACTGATTTTAATAATTGAAATAATTTTCTATTTATGTATCTATAAAATGCGAAAGCCATTGAATAGTCAGAGTCAGAAACTCGTTGTGTCTCTAATTAGTTTCTTTGAACAGGAACGAGTTAATGAGGGCCCCTTTTTGCCATTAAATAGCGTTAGAAAGGTGAAGTATACCTATTGATACTATCAAATATAGGTACATTTTCTGGGGCTTTAATTGGGAATATTTTTCCAGCTTGTTGCAGCTGCACTGAATATTGGTACCTATAACCACTGTGAGTAAAATCCAATGTAAAATCTCTCAAAAAGTTAGGGATAATTTAGCGTTAAATTCACCAAAGAAAAAACGTCCACTAGCTGTATTCTTGAAGCAGGGAGCAGCGTTCCCAGGAGAACGAGTATTCCGTCTTTGTTGCTTATATTGTCATTTGCATATCATTGAGAAAGACGAAACACTCGTTCTCCTGGGAACTCTGCTCCCCTATTTCAAGAATAAGGGTTCACATAAGAAGCGGGTTACGAATCAAGATCACATGTTGCGCGCGCATGTCATTCTTTATTACTTTCTAACTTGTATTTATTACAATTAAGCTCTCTTTTTCCATTTCTGCGAGACACGTCAATTAATGATGCCCGATTCAATGATGACATCGACAATGTTGCCAAGCTTACCGGTTTTCAGATAATGTAGATAACCTCGTTTTTTTTTAAATAGGAATACCACTTTATTTTCAGTGCAATAAATTCGGAGCTCTATTGTGAATAAAACCTCTTGATATCATGTTCCTATTTTACACGGTTTCTGAAATATTGCAACACAGCCTTTTTGTTCAAAAGTCTGGGAACAGTTAAATATTTCCAGAGCGGCTTGAAATAGAATTACGAAATTTTCTCCATAAGGGTATAGTCCAACAAATACCATTTTAAAGTCACGTGATTTTTCTCTATCCTTGTTGAATACATCTCAAACAGCGGTGATAGTAAAATTGACAAAAAAATTGCTGTCTAATTATTCTTCATAATATTCTTACCTGAAATAGAATCCGTCACTGTCATCAATTAGTTTGTCAAAGTTATTTCCGAAAATAATACAACGAACAAACACAGCTAATAATTTTGACTATATTAACCTTTTTCCAACTCGAAAAGAAGCAAATAGAAAACGGGTACCCAGTTTAAGTTTAGAATGTATTACAACAGACAGAAGATACGACAAAAGTGAGTCTCGCAACAATTGCAAGTATTAAAATTGCCCTCTGATTGGTCAATACTACTTCATAAACGCGTTTGTAAAATGCTAGTGGGAACATATCCTAAAATTCAATAGTAATTAATCACCAGTAGCATTTTGTAGGTGATATGAACGACATAATCAATGGACATACGTTTTTTGCCACCAATATCACGTGACTTTAAAATGGTATTTGTCGGACTTTAATTAATCATGCCCGATTCAATGGCCACGTTCACCAGATACAAACGTTGGTAAACGGTTTGCGATTGTTCTGCTGAACGCTACGTTGAATTCATGTTGACACCAAACATGTTTTGCAAACGGTCACCATTTTTGCAAGCATAATTTGAGAGTGTTTATAATTTTCAACGCTGTGTTTTGTGTGGTGACCTGTCATTCAGAGGGTGACGTTCTATCATTGAAAAATTGAATCGTTCAGCAGAACCAAGAGTTCAACCAACATATTCTGTTGGTATTTGTAAACTGTTTACAATCCGTTTTGGTTCTGGTGAACGTAGCCAATGATGACATCGACAATGTTGCCAAGTTTACCGGTTTTCAGATAATGTAGATAACCTCGTTTTTTTTTAAATAGGAATACCACTTTATTTTCAGTGCAATAAATTCGGAGCTCTATTGTGAATAAAACCTCTTGATATCATGTTCCTATTTTACACGGTTTCTGAAATATTGCAACACAGCCTTTTTGTTCAAAAGTCTGAAAACGGTCAAATATTTCCAGAGCGGCTTGAAATAGATTAACGAATTTTTCTGCATATGGGTAATAGTCCCCAGTACATCGACCCTAAAATTTTGTAACTCATGTACACGCCAAACTTCCTGAGCGGCTTCATAACACCAAGTCGGACAATATTTTTCATATCTCCACCCTGGGCGATGGGACATTGCCGCGCTAGCTCTTCGTGAAGTTGTCGTTCTGACGTCCCTAAGGAAGTTGATACATGTACGTGTAGTTTCAATGCCAATCGACTGTTTTTTATATTACATTAACAATATCACATTTGTCGGACAAAAACCATGTGGCTTTGGGGAAGGTCCGACGCCCTTAACATGTCGCTGTGGCGTCCCTGAGGAAGTTGATACATGTACGTGTGGTTTTGATGCCAAGCAACTGTTTTCTATGTTACATTATTGATATCACATAGGTCGGACAAAAATCACGTGGCTTTGGGGGGGTCCGACGCCCCCAAAATGTCGCTGTGGCGACCCTAAGGAAGTTGATACATGTATGTCCGACAAAAATAATTATGAATAACAATGTAATTTTAAAACATGTGTAGTAAATGTCGGACAAATAAAATCAGTATTAAAGTCAGTCGGACAACAATAGTCCTTTTGATCAATTTCTGCCGAAATTCAGAATCTTCACTCCTGAGATCGCACAAAAAACACGACTGAATATCCATTCTTTCTCACACACGTGGTTTTGAATGACCGTTTACAGAATAATTTCCGTAAATACTCGGAGAACTACCAAAAAAACAGATCAGGGAATATGACACAGGGCCCCACAGGTATTTGTCAAAGTAGGTAAATAATAAACTGACTAATATGCACGTTGCGTTAAGGCAAACTAATTTCAACAACTACTCCATGTAGCTTAAGACTCGTAACAAATGTCCTTCCACATTAATCTAAGAATTTTAAATGTATCAATTATTCTTCCTGATAAGAATTTTGCAAATATGTCTACACATAAAGATTATGAATCTAAGTTCTTTAATGATCATTCCCAGTGGGACATGAGCGGAGAAATGTCATATCGTCATGGATTTTGGGTTCACCGAAAGCTCACTTTACAAATAGTAACAACTTTGGGTGGTGAATAATAAACTGACTAATATGCACGTTGCGTTAAGGCAAACTAATTTCAATTTTTTCATTGATTGTCTCAAATTTCTTGTCCGACAAATGTGATATCGTTAATGTAATGTAAAAAACTGTCGATTGGTATTAAAAACACACGTACATGTATCAACTTCCTTAGGGACGCCACAGCGACATGTTGAGAGCGTCGGACTCCCCCGAAGCCACGTGCTTTTTGTCCGACATATATGATATCGTTAATGTAATACAAACAACAGTCGATTGGCATTAAAACTACACGTACATGTATCAACTTCCTTAGGGACGCCACAGCGACATGTTGGGGGTGTCAGACCTTCCCCAAAGCCACATGGTTTTTGTCCGACAAATGTGATATCGTTAATGTAATGTAAAAAACAGTCGATTAGCATTGAAACTACACGTACATGTATCAACTACCTTAGGGACGTCAGAACGACAACTTCACGAAGAGCTAGCGCAGCAATGTCCCATCGCCCAGGGTGGAGACATGAAAATTATTGTCCGACTTGGTGTTATGAAGCCGCTCAGGAAGTTGGGCGTGTACATGAGTTACAAAATTTTAAGGTCGATGTACTGGGGACTATAATTAATGATGCCCGATTCAATGATGATATCGACAATGTTACCAAATTTACCGGTTTTCAGATAATGTAGGTAACTTCGTTTTTTTAAATAGAAATACCACTTTTTTTATTGCAATAATTTCGGCGCTCTATTGTTATTGAAACTTCTTGATATCATGTCCCTATCTCACACGGTTTCTGAAATATTGCAACACAGCCTTTTTGTTCAAAAGTCTGGGAACCGTCAAATATTTCCAGGGGCCGTATTCTTGATTTCTGGGAGGAGAACTTGCTCGGGAAGTGGACGTGGTTTACCTCAAAAAGGTACATGTCATATTCTTGAAAATGGGACTGTGAAGTGAAAGTTCCCGGGAATTCTGAAGTTCCCATCCTCTTACCCAAGAGAAAACGAATTCCCGTCAGGTTTTCTAACCTCAAGACTTGACGTTGTTTTCAAGCTTGACGTTTTCGTTTTCTCCTTTCAAATTCAAGGTTTTTTCGTTTTTGTATGCATTGTGTCTTTTCATTAAAATGAATGTGGATGTGGATTATTTTATTGAGATTATCTTGTATAACATACCTAACATAATCCAAGAAGACATGAAAAATGCTTCAGAAGCAAAGGAAATAGAATGGGATGTTCTGCCTTTTCCATTGGCCAGAAATTCGTGAAATTTTT